GCTTTCAGGAGAGCTTTTGACCAACACGTATAAAAGCTAACGCTGTTAGAACTCTATTAAGGCTGAAACAAGGTAATCATTCCCTCATGGATTACACCCTAGAATTCCATTCTGTAGCAACAGAAATACGCTGGAACAATCGTGTGTTTGTGGATGTGTTCCTTAACGGTTTTGTAACATATTCATCCTCACCTTGCAGTATTTGCATTCAGCCATCAGCAGCCATGCGTCTGTGCACCTGACTCCTGCAGCATGTTAATGGACGCCGGCCACTGCGGATCCACGCCAAATTATAGCCCCACGTTAATGACGATGTCGTCATGCGTTTGAAATCACGCGGGAGACGCGCCTGCACGTTCTGGGGTCAAAGGACAATCAAAATTGTAAAGGGCTTGTTTAAAGCAATTTTACTTTTCCTCATGGCCCTGTCATGGATTCCCTTAGTGGTTGTCCTGAGTGTTTATTTCTGTTTTTTCACTTTGGCTTCGTTTTGACTTCCCTGTATTCTGGTATCCCTGACTTTTGGCTTTCCCTTATCTTTGTGACCCATTCTGTGTCCCCAACCTTGGCAAGTATTCTATTCTATTCTTTGGTACATTGAGTCCGGCCATGCTAAGGCCTGGTAAGACGTTACCTTTTAGTCCTAGGTGTGATACAATTCTACGTGCCGAATCAACTAGTAATCCTGACAGGTTTATCTGATACCTTTTTGGACGAGGTAGCTATTAAGGATCTACCTGAGACTTTGGAAAAGACTCAGACATTGGCAGAATACTAGAGAGAGACCTAGAAGGCAGACTATCAGACTAGCTCCCACCTTTCCCTCAGATGCTATGGCAGTGGCTATTTCAGAACCCATGCAATTGAGTATGATTGAGATGGGATGTGTATGTACTGTGGCAAAAGGGGACACCTCCATTTGACATGTACAGAAAGGCCAGAAAACTACAGAGCCCAAGGTCCCATGGAGGACTGGCCTTGGGTGTACTTAAAGAATCCTCCATAAAATCTAAGCAAGTAAAAAGGCTTCTACTACCTACCACCTTGAAATGGGAGAAAAAGGTAGTACATACACATGCCCTTATCAACTCTGTGGCAGCAGAGAACTTAATTGACTAAAGTACTTTGTTGATAAATATGCACTCCCTCCCAGAGAAAGAGCAACACCCTTGTCTGTAGAGGCCATAGATGGTAGACCACTTGAAGAACCCACCATTACTAAGGAATCTATTCCAATTCTTATGATGGCTGGGGCTCTACATAAGAAAATTGTTGTATTACAAACAATTTCTCCTCCTTTGTTTCCTGTACTCCTGGGTTATCCTTGGTTATTTAAACATAGCCCACAGATAGATTGGGAACAAGGAGAGGTTGTCAAATGGAGTCCTTCTTGTACAGAGGGGTGTGTCACCAAAGTCAAACCCGTGGGCTTCATAAACGTACCTGTATTACCTCCATTATCTACAGATGAGAGGTCAGCAAGAGGTCTTTGACAATAAGAAAGAGTATAAATTACCTCTGCATCGGTCATATGACTGTGCTATAGAACTGTTACTAGGGACCATGCCACCTAGAGGCATTGTTTATCCTTTCTCTTTAAAGAGAATCAGATATTGGAGGAATACATAAAGGAGAACATTGAGAAGGGATTTATCAGAAGGTCCTCATCTCTTGCTGGAGCAGGATTCTTTTTTTTTTTTTCTAAAAAGGAGGGTGATCTCAAGCCCTGTATTGACTACAGGGGGTTGAATAAGATTACTGTACATAATGTCTATCCTATTTCTCTGATCACAGAACTATTTGACCGGTTGAAAGGTTCCAGAATCTTCACCAAATTAGACCTACGTGGTGCATATAACTTGGTGAGGATCAAAGAAGGGGATAAATGGAAGACGGCTTTTAATACTAGA